CCAAAAGTGGGGACAAAAGTATCTCAGAAGAGAGACAATGAAACTTAAAAGGAAAGGCAAAAGCAACCTCAGATGCAACATTAGAATTTTTATTGCATCAAACATGTTAATAACATATTGACTAAAACATTTTTACCATGTTCAAATGCTACATCAGGTGATTTAAATGCTATAAAGATCAAAACGCACTAGTACAAAGGCTACAAGAGTTTGGTCATCTTCAAATGGTAACAGGTCACCTCCTCAAAATTTTAGTACTTTTGCTGATCTTAAAGGGGATAAGATTCTCCATATATCACAGCTACAGAAACACAAAAATCTCTCCCAAAAAGTGCAGTGGAAAAACTTCAATATTTCTTCATCACCTTGACAAGAATCTTTCTTGAAAAGCTCAACAACAATATGTGAATCTCTCCCAGAATGTGCAACAGAAACAAAAAAATCTCCCTAGGAAACCATGAAGGGAAAACTTCAGGTTTTCTTTATCTCCTCTAAAATGTGTGAGAGCCACAGAAGAATCACCACCAGAATGTGCAAAAACAACAAGAAATAAGATCCCGGGTTACCTTCCAAGCAGAGACGTGAACAACTTTTCTCATCTCAACAACAAGAAAGAAGATCTCTGGTCACCTGCTGCGTAGGGATGGAGACAACTTTCTTTATCTCAGTAAAGAGAAAGAAGATTATGAATCACATGCTGGGCAGAGGCGGGGACAACCTTCTTCATCTCGACAACGAGAAAGAAGATCCTGGGTCACCTGCTGGGCAGAGACGAGGACAACTTTTTTCATCACTGCAACACAAAAGAAAATCCTGAAGGTTCTACTGGGTAGGGTTTGGAATAACATTTAGGAAGAATTTCTCCTGCTTCTTTAAGACAATATCAAAACAAGAAAAAAAAATTCAGATTACCCGTTGGGCATGAATGAGATTCCACTTTTACACTCTTCTTCTTATATATTCATAGGCTCAAAGAGTAGCACTTACAAAAAAAAATTTCATTTTTCAATTGGCCTTCCACATTCTACTATATATATATATATATATATATATATATATATATATATAAAATTCTTTTAAGAAAGAAATGTTCAAACTTTGATTAAGGGTCATCCAACGAGATGGACCTAATAGTACCAAAATTTATCCAATCCGAGCTAAATCAAGCCTTGATCAAGCCATTAAATCACTTTTGAAAGTTTTTTTTTTAGTATATTTGGATGGTCAAATAGATGTCGAATCTAGTGAGCTTATGGTCGAATCGAGTGCCTCGACAAGACAAATCCAACGAGCTTAAGAACGCTCAATTTTGACATCATTAGGACACTCAAATGTCTATTAAATATTGTTGATTGAGGAAATCTCCTCGAACCATCCAATCAGAATGGTTCATATTTGCTTATTAATTGCAACTGAAACTCTATAAATAGATCTCCTCCCCTCTCATGAGAAAAGAAGAGTTTGAAGCTTGAGAAAGAGCTTGAAGCTTGGAGAATGAGCTGAAGTTTAGAATCACTCCTACAGTCGTCGACAGTCGCCAACCACCATCGACTGTCGGTTGTCGGTTGTCATCGATCACCATCGGTCGTCGTCAATTCCAATATACAAGCTCATGCACGTACTAAATTTGTAGCTAGGAAGATTGTGTAACCATTTCCCGCCTGTGGGACAAGGGACATTATTTGTAATCTATAGTTTATAGTGGATCTCTTCAATTGGGCCAAATCCCATGGTTTTGTCCTTCACGTGTTTTCCACGTAAAAACTATTGATGTCTCTACTAATTATTTTTCTTTCATCTGAGTGTGTGTTAGACTCTCTTAAAACGCTAAGAAGACAATACTACTCTACTATCATGAATTTTCTAGCATGCACCATAATCATATAATTAGAAGTCAAAGACGTTTAGAATAGATTATATAGGTTAACAAATACTAACATTATTAAGAGAATATTTATTATTATATAGTAATTAATCATTGATGCTTGTCAGAAGATTTGCAACTGTAGAGTAATTATTTAACGTCTTAGTGTTAGATGCAAGCACACACTCTGGTAATTAAAGTGAAAGGAAAAGATATATTATTTTTTACATAGAAAACCCTGGGAGAGGTTGGGGAAAAAACATTATGCCTAACCTACTTGAAATAATCCACCATGTAATGATGTGTACATAGGCCCACTTTTCTCCTGAGTTAGAGAAGATGCAGTTATAAATTTGATGTACAATGGTATTTCAACAATAATAGTCGTAATGGGTCGTGAAGCTCACATTCGATGGTTATGAAGGCAGTAGTTTGTTGTGAATGTTATAGACTGTAGTCGTAGCTCCATCTTGTCATAGAGGTTATTGTTGAAAGCCATGGTATTAGTTGGTCATGCGAGCCATAGATGATTACTTCATGAGTGTCGATTGGTGACACATGCCTTAATAGGAAGCTGCAATAAAGTTTGTAGGCCATAGATATTGAAGTTGGGAGCTGCATGAGCTGTGAACTACGTAGTGCAGTTGGTCACATAGACCATGGCGGGGAACTGTAATAACATTTGTAGGTTGTAGAAGCAAAACTTTGGAGTTGTATGAGGTGTGATAACATCTATAAGCCACAAAAGTTGGATTTGGGAGCCGCATGAGTTGTGATAACATATGTAGGCCACAAAGACTAGAGTTTGGAGTTGCATGAGTTGTGATAATGTGCATAGATCGTAGAGGTCATAGCTAGGAGTTGCATGAGTTGTGGATCACGTAGGTCGCAGAGGTCGGAGTTGTGAGTTGCAAGAGTTTAGATAATGTTCGTAGGTCACAAAAGCTAGAGTTGGGATATGCATGAGCTACGATAGCATCCGTAGGCCATAGAGGTCAGTGTTAAGAGCTGCATGAGTTGTAATAAAGTATGTAGGCCACAAAGGCCAGAGTTAGAAGCTATATGAGCTGTGATAACATTTATAGGCCATAGAGATTAGAGTCTCAGTTGGAAGCTATAATAAGTTGCAATAACGCTCATAAGCCACAGAGGCTGAATTTGGGTACTATATGAGCAGTGATAACATTCGTATGTTGTAGAGGCCGAAGTTGGGTACTGCATGAGTTGTGATAACGTTCGTAGGCCATAGAGACTAAAATTGGGAGCTGTATAAGTTGTCATAATGTCCGTAGGCCTTAGAGGCTGGAGTTTGGAGTTGCATGAGCTATGGATCAGTAGTCCTAAAATGCTGAAGTTGGGAGATGCATGAGTTGTAATAACATATGTAGGCCACAGAGGCCAGATTTGGGAACTATACGAGTTATGATATTGTCTATAGGCTACAGAGGCCGGATTTGAGAGTTGCATATGTTGTGATAAAGTCATAGTCCATAGAGAATGGAGTTGGGAGAAGTAAGAACTGTAAATTATAGTTGGCCACGTAGGCCATAGTAGTGGTCTGCAAGGAGATAGCTTCAATAGCTTGGAGAAAGTCACCATATCGTGAATATGATTGTTACACCACTTTTGAGAGGAGTCGTTGTACCAATTGTAGAGCACGTCATTGCATCGTATGCATGGCACATTTTTACATCGTATGCGAGTTGCATCATTGCATCGTAGCTAGGATGCATTGTTGTACTATCTTTTGGGTGCATCATTAGACTGTATTTAGGGTGCGCCGTTGTACTATTCCATAGGGTGTCTCTTTACTCTACAATGTGTGTTTGGATTCCATAGCACACGTGATTCTGCAAGAGGTTTGGCTCAATGAGTAGTGAGTGGCAAACGGTGGCCGACAGTGGACTGCAAATAATGATCGACGGTGGTCGACGGCTATAGAAGTGAGTAACATTTGTTGAACCTTCAATGTAGAACATGGAACCTCAGTTCATTCTCCTATAAGCTCAAAGCTTCCTCCGATTCAAGGTCTTGGTATCTCATCATGAAGTAATGGGTAGAGCTCTATTTATAAAGTCTAAGAGAGGTCTCTGTGTAAATAAGGAAACCAATCAACCTATCACATGAAACAAAGAAGTTTCTTTGATTATGTGGCATTTTGTGGGCATTTGAGTGTTATAATACTATCAAATTTGAGTTATCTTGAACTTGTTGGATTCATCTCGTCAAGTTGCTTGATTCAACTATAAGCTTCGTTTGATCTTCCAGTTAAGAGCCAAAAGCATCTAAAAATGGTTTGACAACTTGATCTAGGCACAATTTGACTCAGGTCGGACAATTTTTGGTGTCAATGGGCCCATCTCGTCCCACTGGTCAATTTGACTATAAATTTGTTGAAATGAGAGTTCTAGATGATTTTTAATTGAAGTTTAAATGTTCTTTGCTCAAAAAATTATCTTAGGAATCATGCCACGCCTCATGTTCCATGTTGGACGATGAAAATTTATTGAATGTCGTATCAATTATGGTTATCATATAGCATGTAAACTTTACTCTTTTTTAATATTAAGTATATGACTGGTGAATTTTTAAGATAAACATAAATCCTGAAATTCAAGAGAGATACCCATCTAATTCTCTGGGTAAAAATATCCATATATTTTGAAAGCAATTCCATAGGAAAATTCCAATTAAAATCATTGCCTGGTCAATTGTGCCATTTTTTTTTTCCAACTGTTGAAAGAATCTTCAATCTCAATTAAGGTTGATATTGATCTTGTGAGACACCAAAAATGAAATGCCTCAATGCAGCTAGATTGACACCTTTTTATGTCTTATTGATTCTTCCATCTAAAATTTAATTTGATTGATTTTTTCAGCTAACATCAATCTTATTTTTAGTGGGCTACAGAGACAACTACATGCATGTCACACAATTCTTATGTATTTACATACCTAAAATCTCAACATATTCATATTTACATGCATACCAATCAAATCTTTATCAACACATAAAAAAATACCACCTTCACTATATTTGTAAAAGTAAAATACACATTTTCATGCATAAGATCATGACAGCACCAGATAGTTTATAAATACATATGAATTTTGTGATAAGTAAGTAAATTTCCCTTTATTTATTTATTCAAAATAACACTAATTACACTACATAATTGAATATAAGCAAATTAAAACAACAAGCATAGTTATTCTCAATTATCAAACAAATCTCATTTCCCTTATTCCCCCAAACAACAAAACAGGACCTTCAGTTTCTCACAGAAAAGCATCAGCTTCTTCTCTGAATATCATTTCATTTGCCTAAGAGCTACAGAAATAATCAAAATTAAGCTTTGGATCAGAGTATTCTGTCGACAATATCTTGGAAGCCACAACTGCATTAGCTGCCTCTGAGTAATGAACTCCATCCCAGCTTATGTACTTCAATTTTTCACTGCATACTTGACACAGAGAATTCCCACAGGTTATATTAGCGTTGTAGTTGTATGGTGGCCCTCCATACCCACAGCAAACCAGCAAAGGGCTCTCAAATCCTAAACAAAATAGAGCAATCTTCAAATTAAAACAGAAGAAAGTTAGCCAAGATTAATCTTAGTTGATGCCATGGTGAATGAGAAGCTCACCATATTCAGTGGAATTAGCTATTAGGTCATACTTGATTGAATAAATATCAGTGTAAACTATGGTGGCGTTCTTGTATTGGGATCGGAGTTCGACGCAGAGATGGCTCAGCTGAGAATTGAATTCCATGGCTGCATTGTTTAGTGGTGAAAGGCATCCGTAAGGGTCGAGAAAGCTGTCGTTTTTTCGAGGGAGGGATAGTTTTTGAGGTAAGCAGCCCAACGGTCCTGTGTTATGTATCCAAAAGTTTCTGCTGCCAGTATCGTGCAGCATCTGTATTCAGAAGTAAAAAAAATAAACGGTAAATTCGTTACATTTTTACACTGAGAACATTTCATTTGATTGTAGTCTTACAATTTACATACATAACACATATTTCTCATGTATTTACATGTCTAAAACCAAAAGTTTGATATGTACACTTATCTATAAAATATGATTATAAATAGATTCATTAGGATCTCTGGCTACTTAAATTTATCTTTTACTCTCAAGGGGATGTACGTATGTTATATCATCTCTGGTGTCTTTTCTTCTGTTGACGCATCTTCGATCAACCTTAGCCTTTTGGTCCATACTCCTGGTTGTCTGGTCAGTCTGTTTAGCCATGGATGAGTGCTCTAGAAGAGCTGCTTTGAAAAAATTATTCTGGGAGAATAATCTTATAAGAGCTGTTTTTTTGGATGAATGCAGTTGAACAAATGCAACTAGATGAAAGACAGTTTGATGAATGGCAGTTGAACGAATGACAGTTGGATGAATGCAGCTAGAAGAATGAAGGATAGATGAATGGAGATGGAGGAATACAGCTTCCTGGTCCAGGAGATTTTCGCCATGCATATTTAGTTATCCAATTCTCTTATCTCTTTGAAAGGTAATTGCGAAAATAATAAGATAATGATAAACATTAAATTATGTATTACTTGTCTCTATAAGACAAGTGAATGTTTCTCTGGTCTAAGGAAAAAATTCAGTAGATATGTTTTTTTTCTTTTTAAATACGAGTCAAAACTGTTGAAGTAAAGAGGAGTGGTATATTTCTCTATGTGTTGACTATTAGTTAATATGGGGACCCTTAGTTCTACTTCAAGAAATCATCATAAGGGCAGTTTAGCTACACCTACATGATTCTGTCATGGGGGCACTTTGGCTCACCTTCAGGGAATAATTTTACAGATTGCTCATTCATCTTTACTATGGTTGGCTCGATGATTGTTTAGGATGAGCCCCCGAAGTGTTATAGTGAACATAGTTTTTCTATAAGGAGTTTATCTTTTTGTGTAACTAGATTGTCTGTTTTCTTACAATATAACTCAGTTATAAAGGAATTCAGGCAATTTGGTTAAATTCGGTTTATCCTTTGCTTAGAGGTTGTTGCTCTTCTATAGAAAGCAGTCGTCATAATTCTTCAACTTCAACAAGGATGAAATATCGTGAACTTCAATTCATAGATTAACTAACTTTGCCTTTTTTTTGGTCTAGAAAGATTTTTTTTCAAGATTATCCCTACCATTCAGCTATTGAGCCAAGACCTAAAAGCTTAGGTGATTTTCCATTTACTCAGAGAAAACTTGCTTTTGAGGGTCAAGTTTCCCAAGTGTTATTGGCAAACTCATTCTATAGTAATATATATACAAATTGATGGAATTAATAGAAAATATAAACGTGGTAAAATAAAATAAAGAAAGGAGAGTTTTGAGAAAATTTTCCTTTGTTATTCATATTGTTATAGGCTCTTTTGTTGCTTGCCTCCATTCTTTGCATAACTCTTCTCTCCTGGGCAATTTATTTCTTTGAAGATGTTTTGAGAGAACTCTCTTGAGAGAGCCATTCTAAAAGACTCTCCTGGGATAGTTGTGATGGAAGAGATGCACTGGGAGAGTTCTCCTAGGAGAGTTATTTTGAGAGAACTCTCTTGAGAGAACAATATTCCTAGATGAATCGAAGAATAGACTAATGGAGAAGTGGATGAATAGACGAATGGATGAATGGACGCATGGGCAATGGAGTGGACAAATGAATGAGTTTAGCTGCTCTTTTAAACATGTTCTTGAATGAATTCTATTTTGCTAGTTACTTCTATATGACTTGATTTTACTTTTTCAGTGAATCCTCTTTTTTGTGGCATGATCCACACTCAACGCGTCATTTCAATGTGTTGAATTCAGTTTTGTCCACGGATTTACATCTTAAGGGTAGAACTATAAAAAGAGAGAAGAGTGTGAGCTGTAGAGAAGAGAGAAAATGGGAGAGAGTAAAAAATATTGTATTAATTCCTTTGATGGCTATTTAATAGATGGAAAAGCCCTCCTTACATTAACTTTTCATCGTATATAGGGGTATTTGCTCTATAAAATATGTATAGTCTATGATTATAAATAGATTCTTTCGGCTCTCTGACTACTTGAATATGTACTTTACTGCTCGGGCACATATATCAAAGTTATCTCTGGTGTCTTTTCTTCCATCAACGATATCTTCGTCCGCCCTTAGCCTTATGCTCTATAATCTTGATTGTCGCATCAATTATCTAGTCGATCTATTTGGCCGTGGATGAGTGCTCTGGAACAACTGTTCTAGGAAAGTTGCTCTAAGAGAACAAATTTGGAAAGCGCTATTTTTGGACAATTTGACGAATTTAGTTGGTCGAATGTAGTTAGACACATGATAATTGGATGAATGACGACTGGACAAATGGAATTTAAGTGAATACAATTAGATGAATGACTGCTAAACGACTGACAGTTGGGCAAATGACAGTTGAAAGAATGACAACCAAATAAATGTGGTTGATCGAATGACAGTTGAAAAAATGCAACTTCTTGGTTTAGAGGATTTTGTTATATAATAAAAAGTATGTTGTATGTATGGAAAATCCCCATTATTTTATTTATATTTTAAATCAAAATAAAACATTTTTTGTGTGATAATTGTTTCTAAAAAACACCAAAAATACCAAAAAGTTATTTTGAGTATTTTTAAGAATAAATTGACTTGTTTTTAAAATAAAAAATAAAAAAAATGTCAAAAATACTACACCTACATGTATATAAAAGGAGAAGCAAAAAAATAAATAAATAAATAAATGAGAAGACCCTAAATTGTATTCAGTGTCTTAGGGCTTGTTTAAGATCAATTTTCTTTTTAATTTTTGTTTATTTAGTGTTTTAAACATATTTTTATTTTTTATTTCTAAAACAAAATAATTTATTTTTGGAAAAGACTCAAAATAAGTTTTTAAGTGTTTTAAGTATTTTTAAAAATAAGAGCATTTTAATCAAAATATATTCTATTTTAAATAAAAATATAAACAAAACAAAATAAAAATAATAAATAGAAAAGAAAAGGCAAAAAGCAAAAACCAAAAAAATAAAATTGATACTAAATAAATCCTTAGTTTTTAAATTTGACAATGCCTAGTCTAATAACAGAGGTTATGAAGATACTCTACCATGATTCATGAGTAGGATTTGTTAAGAGCTTGACACTTCTACGACCACTGTAGCTGTCAATTTCTTTCACTGGTATTCAAAAGTAATTGAATCTTATTATTAAAAACGAGTTCATGCAATTGTTTAGTTTAGACGACAAAAAACTTAGTTTTTATTCTTAAAACCTTTTTCTAATATTGAGAATTAACTTTCAATCTTTAGAGACAATAAGTCGTCTTAAGTTTTGTTCTTATACTTATAATAATAAAATAATAATATTAAATTAATGGGATAATGACTTAAAATGATACTTTTAATTCTAATAATGATAAAAAAATGACAATTACTGTGAAATTGGATAAAAATGAAACTCACAGTAGTCCAAGAATTCCATATAAATAAATGAACAAAGTTCTCGAGAAGTAATTTTAAGCAAAGCAGGCATAATCACTGCAATTATTAATCGTGTTTAATTCCTTCCTTATTCTTCCTTGAATAGGCCGATTTTCTTTCGCTGTGGATCCCGCCTGCCGGTTTCGCGAATTTCCTATTCGGCTCTCCCGCTCTCCCGCTTCTCCCGCCTTCGTCTGCCCCCGCTCTCCCGCTCTCCCGCTCTCCCGCTTCTCCCGCCTTCGTCTGGGTTCACGAATTTGGAGCCCGCTCTGTCGATTCGCGATAAAGGAGAAGAGAGGACTAGCGATTGCATTAGAGGAAACGATAGCAAGAACTTCAAGTGAAAAGAAAAGCAAGATTCGGCTCAGGAGAAGAGAGGACTAGCGATTGTATTAGAGTTCGCTTCGGTGTGTTGCTCACGGGAAGATCAATGGAGCTACTCTAAAATTCTCTGCAACTCCGACTGAACCATGTAAATCTGTGCATGTGTTTCTCTATTTTGCATTTTCTCGTTCCAATTTTTCATTTTATTGCTAACGATGACTGTAGATGAAGCGATGATATCAGGAATTCGGAAATTTGATGGCACGAATTTTGGATACTGGAGAATGTAGATATACCACTATCTCTATTGGCATCTTTCTTTACTGGAAAAGAGACCAAAAAAGATGGAAGAGGTTGAATGAAATTTGTTAGATCGAGAAGTTCTGGGAGTTATTTGATTAATTCTGTCGAGATCCGTTCCGCACAATGTCGTCAAGAAAAGTATGACTGCAAATTTCATGGCAGTTTTGTCATGTATGTAGGAAAAGTCATTAGCGAATAACAAAGTGTATTTGATGAAAAAATCATTCAATTTGAAGATGTTGGAAGATACAACTGTTGCAAAACATCTGAATGATTTTAATAACATCATAAATTAATTATCGTCCGTGAAAATTGAATTTGATGATGAGATATGTGCATTGATATTGTTAGTTTCATTGTCAAATAGCTGGAAAGCATTGATAATGATCATTAGCAATTCTGTAGGTAAATCTAAGTTGAAATATGATGATATTCATGATTTGATTTTGGTTGAGGAGGAGTGCATAAAAGATTCCGGCGAGACATCGAGTTTGAGTTTATCATTGAATGTTGACTTCAAAAATAGATCACATGACAAAAATCCAAATAGAAAAAGATCAAAATCAAAACACAATAAGTCAGGGTTTGGTCAGCTAGCAACCTGATGGAATTGTGGAAAAGCTGGACATATAAAGAAAAACTGCAAAAGCCTTAAGACAGAGCGTTAGTGCTAATGTTGTAACTGAATAAGTGTGGTTGCATTATTGCTGGCAATTCAAAGTTCTATTAACGAGTGGATACTGGATTAAAGGGTTCCCTTCCATACATATTCCCACCGAGAGTTGATACAAAATTATGTTACAGCTGAATTTTTTATGACAT